CATGGTATAAAGACAAGAGTATGCTCATGCGCATGACCAATCAGCGGTTTTGTTCTTGATTACGTCATAACAAACGCCAAATTTAAAGCATATAAATTTAACATTAGTAATTTTAAAAGAATTTTTGGTTAAATAATATATTAATTTGATTAGTGTGAATAATGGATTAGAAATAATCTAATTTTAAATGCAGGTATAGGATTAATCAACACATACACACACATTAATACTAGAATTTTATTTTTTTATTAGTAAATTTAATTAATTTTTTTTTTGTTTTCTTAGTTTTGAAGCAACAAGTTCTTTATTTATTTTGTTAATTCTAATATAAGTTCTAGTCCTAATTAGGCATAATATCACCTCTTTCGGAATATCGGCGTGTAATTTGGGTAATATTAAGTTGTACAAAGTTTTAAAAATATATTTTTCCTTACGTAGAATTGTACCGTGGAATTTTTCAAATTCTGTATTTACTATCCTAGCAGTCTGCAACCACTGTTCCAAGGGATACATACATTTTCCGCGTGAAATAAATTGAAGCCAACTTATATCGCTGGGAACATCCATGTGTCTCGTTTCTAAACCTAGTGTGCTATATTTGTTTTTAAACCAAAATGCAACGTATCCTGCTACATATTTTAATGCCTCTTCTTCTATGATGTCACTTATATCTAATTTATCTAACGATAACAATAGCTGTTCTTCTTCATAAGTTGGAGTGAAAGAACATAGTTCAAATGAAATACAATTATTATTTTCGCATACGCACGATTTATTGCAGCAATGCATAGATTCTTCTTCATTGATTTGTTCCCTACTATCTAACGATGCTTGCATATTTATTAACAAAGATTCGTCAAGATCGGGAGAAGAATGGTCAATTTCTTCGCTTTCTTGAATATTGATTTTGATGATAACAAATCACTTGAATGTTTACCTAAAATATAGCGCTTTAAACGAAATTTGAAGTCTAGAGCATTCGGGTGATCGTAAGTGGCTCCCAATGATCGGATAAAAGAAAAGAAGTGATCCAGTAAGTCCTGGTTTAAGCGGTACGTCGTTATGTAAGAAATATCGTAGGTGTCATATTTCTCCTGTAAGTACGGCAGTAACTGTTGCAAGGAAGTGTTGCTTACGCAAATTCCTTTTTGAAAGCTCAATATATTCTTATGCTTTCCGATTCGGCATTCGCTTATAAATGCAGTCATTTGATCTAATATTTCATTTTGTTTCTGGATATGCACACCATAAGCACATTTTCCTTCTACTTTATAAAACTTGGATTTAGCATTGAATACGTCGAACCAGTCATTGCAGAGCTGAATAAACATAACGGTATCTTGAACCTCAATGTTTTGCAAAAAGCCTTTTTCAGAACACCATCTTATTGCATGTGCTGTTGTATTAGACAGTAGCTGCGCAGCAGGCAAAACCTTTTGCCTATCTGAACCTTGTACGGTTAAATGATCATCTGTAATTTTGTGTGCTATTTTCAAATCTTTAGAATTTAAAGATATCAATTTCTGAATAACTGAGCTTTCTATTTTTTTTCCTTTCCAATAGAAACCATCATCAAGAAAATGATTTCTTAGCAACTTCAATAGATGCGGCATATCTGCAAACACAAATATTTGCAAGTCATTGCAAACTGGATTCTGAAAATAACATTTTTTAGGATGCATGCCAATCTCTAATTCCAACCACAATTTCATATTTCCTGGTCCCATATCACTCGTTACAGCTACCACTGTATATTCAGAATCATGCAATTTTGAAATGATCTCAAAAAGAGTGCTTACATCCATCGATTTATCATACTGATAATAAATAGGCTGTTTCCAGCTCGAGAAAAGGCTACGTACCATTACGCATTGACAGGTCCTATGAGGACCAATAACTTGTTCTGTTTCCCGATCTATACTTATTTTATTACTTAAATACATTTCGTCAAATGTAAGCACAACTAGTTTTTCGACATCAGACATGCATTTTTTCTTAGCTTTCATCACATCAAACACAACAAAAAGAACACCTGTCTCAATACGAACTCGGTTTGCCCACCTTCGAAGTGTTGACAAGCCAGGAAGCGGTATTTTCATGACATTTTTCATGTATCGGTATCCCTTTGGGCTTGCACACCGCAACGATACAGCATTCGTGATGTCTACGGAAGACCACTTGACTTTACTCAATGATGGATTTAACAAAAGTCGGATCTGTCCTGGAGTAAAAAATTTTCCCAGCAGCTCATACATTCTGTTTTCGAAGCGTTCATTTTCTGTTTTTATCCGTTGTTCAAGTTCGTAAACCTTTGCTTTCATCGCAGCGTTCTCGAGTAAAATGTCTTCTCTAAAATATAAAATAAAATTAATAAAGTAAGTATATATAATTGTAAGTAGTAAGTATATAATTGTAAATTTCTTCAAAGATTTACGTATGATTTAATGCTTTTTTTATTACATTGTGTCTTATAAAACTTACATTTTAGAAAATGGCAACACTTTATTATCTGTGGATACTGTGGATGATGAAGCATCACCAGATACTGGCGAAGACACTGGAAATGCTTCAATAGTTATTGGAACGTCACTGGTTCCTGACAAAGGCACTACTTCAGTCAACGAAGCATCACTCGACATTTGCTGAGACATTTCTTCGTGGAATGTATTTGCAACTGATACTGGTAGAGGCACTGCTGTATAAGAGGCTCTTGCAGTTGACAAAGCTGCCTGATCAAACTCATCCTTGGTTAAAACACTAGATGTTGGAGGAAGATGCAATGTAGGAATAGCATCCAAATGTAACTTTCTCCCTTTACAAGGACTATAATGAAGCATTTGTTGCTGCAAAGACTTCACGAAGCACGTTTCATCAAAATGCTTAGAACATATCTTAGCTAAACAAACAAAAAATAAACTTATATTATTAACAATGTTGGTGTACAATTTGCATAGTGTCGGTATATAATTTGCTTACAACAATTCCTTATAAAGGGAACAAGTCAGTTGCAAATACATTCCACGAAGAAATGTCTCAGGAAAACGTTTTTTAGAAGTTGCAAAAATACTTTAAATTCAAAGTTTTGCTGTAAATTTTTACAATTTTACTGCGAACTTTTAGTTCTATAACTAAATTTTTTAGGTTAACTACGAAGTAAAGCTACTAATAAAAAATATTTTCGCGAAGTTAAAAGGCGTTTACCGTTAGGGATTAAGAACAAAAAGTTGTAATAGTTGTTGTAAAAAGAGTGTTTGCTCTTAATAAATAAATAAATAACAAAACTTACCAGTTTGAACGTTTACATCTTTTCCGCATTCTTTGCGCCACTGTTCAGCAATTTCGAGGTCTTTTGGAAAAGTAAAATATTTAATATTACTTTTCTCAATTTTCCTCGTTTTTGCCAAATAATTACCGCATCCTTTCACTGTACAAGTCATCGTAAAAACTTTAGCTCTTCGATTTGTGCTATGCATGGACGCTATATGAATTACGGCCGAGAACAACCAATCGCGTTCTCGCATCAAAACCAACCAATCCGCGTATACCAAAATGTGACGTAGTCAAAAACATGCGCGGCACAAGACCAGTTTTAAATAAATAATGAGCATACCCTTGTTTTTATACCATGATCCATACGATATTCTATGTATATTCATAAATGTACCTACATCAGCGTATATCGTATGTATGTACGTTACATGTATATACATGGAATGTACACGAGTATATTCTATGTATATACAGGCAGCGATCTCGTTCGAATATACATTTTATGTATATCCATAAATGTACCTACATCAGCGTATATCGTATGTATGTACTGTGACGTGATGCTTTTCGTCGCGCCCGTCACAAGGGCAGTAGCCCGGCCGAAGGGGGCGGAATTTGGAGTTGCGTCCCCCCGGTCGAAGAGGGAGCGATTTCTCCCGCTTCAACAGGTCTCGCGCTCTTATTTAAATTGTAATAATTACCGACAAGCTTAGAATTCTAACGTTAGGGTGTATGGCCAAAATTTATCGTCTTGTGTAACTAACGTCAAGAAGAAGCAAACGCCGTAGGATTTTGGAAGATGACCTCGACAGTGGAGAGAAAGCCCGAAAAACATACGAAACCAAGGTCATGCATCGAGTCTCGCGTTGAACATTGTCGTGATAGCAGTTACCGATCCTCCAACTTTACAGGACCGAGGTTACGGGGAAGCCCCGACAAGGTCCAGATAGAGGGAGCACTGCAGTGCGACCGGATGCCGGATGACGTTGCCGCCATCACCGAGAGTCCAAACAGACGGTCGGTGTAGCCTCGGCCTGGCCAGCCGGGCAGATCGAACCGAAAGACATCTAACTAAGAGAGATTCATTTCAAATTATCGGTTGTTGGCGAGCACGAGAAAGAATAAACAATTGACGAGGTCGAAACTGTTTACGATCGACAGGCAACTCGAGAAAAAATTATAAACAGAGTGCGCTGACCGATGCGTAAAGACTCGACATGAGCTAGGGAGACCTCAGAGAAATCACTGTTCGACGAGCCAGCAACCGGGAAGGAGCAGCTCCAGAAAGAAGGTCCTGACAAGCGTAGCCGTACCGTCTTTGTAAAACCATCACCCAAGGTAGCTATAATCTGGTAATACCGGCCAAAGCGGACGCCTCCGACGAATTTAGTTACCTCAAGAACGTTGCAATTATTCTTAATTATCGAAATAAGAAGTGCCGATACCGCTTCCCGTGAATTTCAGAGTCGGAGGTTAGCTGGTTACCGGTTACCGTAGCCCTCTTCAAAACGCTGAGCCGTCGACAGTCCGAACGCTCGTAATCCGAGAAAGACATATCGTTACCGTCTCCGTCTTACCGGAGTTATCAGTTACCGTTGCCGGATTATATTGTTACCGTCTCCGTCTTGCCGGTGTTACGTGTTACCGTTGACGTTGTTTTGGGGGAATACCGTTTGATAGAGAATTCGAGTCGCGGAATTTGCGTGGAGTGCAGTACCGTTTCGCAGCGAGAGTTAAAATTTCGGCCTTGTGGCGTAACGATCAACTCGTCGCGGAAACTTGAGTGCCTCTATCGAAATTACCATTGAGATTACCTTTTTGTCGGCTACTGAAATTCATGTATTACCGTTAGTACGGATTTGGCCTTGGAACGTCGTCTCTGGGCGAGATTCCGGATTCACGCCTTTAACGAAATTGGACGTCTCTGGCAGGACGCCCTCTGTCTCCGAGTCTTTCGGTGTTATTGTTTTGGAGCCTGTTCTGGAGCGTTGTTTCGTAGCGGAATCTTGGAGGTCGCAGTTTTGGAGGAGACTGGAGCGTATCTGGCAAATCTATTACCGTATCGTTTATCGTACCGTTTTGCTGAGTATTGTTTTGCGTATCGTTTCAATTGCCGTTTCTAAGTGTCGTTTTGCGTTCCGATTATCGTGTTTGAATATCGTCGTGCGTAACGTTTTCGGCTACTGTTTTGCGTATCGTTCTCTCAGTATCCTTTGAGTCCTGTTTTGATTGCCGCTTCTAAATATCGTTTAGCGTGCCGTTGTCGATTGCCGTTTTTGCGTATCGTTTCCAAATATCGTTTTGAGTACCGTTTCGACTGTTGTTTTCGAGTACCGTTTCTTGAATGTCGTTCTTGGATACCGTCTAGAGTATCGTTTTTGGAAGTATCGTTCTTGGTTATCGTTTTCCGAATAATATCAATTTGAGTATTGTTTTCTGTGGCGCATTGTTTGGCGAATATTGTATTTTGATTTGCGTGCGATACCGTCTCTCTTAAAAAAATTCTGTAGCTTGTTCTGCCATGTTAATTTTCAATGATTCTTTAATAATGTGTTATTAACTTTTATTGTTAAACGTGGTGTTTTTCTGACGACATCTCTTCAGAATCTCCAATAGAAATCAAAGAACTACGCCCCTCTGCCATATACTGAGCGGGGAGCGGCCGGACATATCGAGTCATTTATTGAAGTTACCATTACCACGGTGCAATTATACGCACCTGGCGCCCATTTTCAGATACCGACTTTTTGTGTTACCGCTGTTACCGAATCGAGCATTTATTGCCGATACCGCGAGTTACCGAATCGTGCATTTACTACCGATACCGCGTAAGTTACCTAACTCCCGAAGAACGTGGAGAACCGCAGATTACCGATTTCCATTGGGCGTGCTCCCTCGGATCTGGCG